TGTGGATTGTTCCTTCAAAATGGCAGAGTGGAGACCAGTATTAAAAAAACAACCTTCCTGGGATCCGAAATCAAGACATCTGGAAAACAACAACTTGGTGAAGAGAAAAAAGACAAAAAATTACTGAAGTACATCTCCAGGAATTAGTAGGGCACTTACAGGAAAACTAGAAACTGCAGAGAAGCTGAAGAAGTAGAGCACAATGCAGATAAGAGAATGAAGCAGCCTGGAAAGCTCAGGGGAGGGGGGCCTGTTTTTGTTGGCCCAAGGCAAGCCCAGAGAAGGTTTGTAGCTCCAGGAAGGAACAACAGACTGAGGCCAGCAGCTCCAGCCTAAAGAAAAACCCACTGTTTTTATAAATTACAAAAGTAGTGTGGGGCTTTACTCTGAAAGTGACTGCTAGAATTGGAGAAGAAATCCGGCGTAGCATTTGCCATAGCTGAGAAGGTTTAATCAGGAATCATTTGGGGAAGAGGTTAGTTGTTTAAGACTGAGCCACAGGAAAAACAGCAGACAACTATACTTCAAGGTTTCTGGAATCATCTTACCACAGCGACTGGTTTGGGAGCTGGTTTCAAGAGCCAGGCACGAAGAGAGCATGGATGAGACATAGACTCCCCTGAGAAGTTTCAGCTTGGGCTAGGAAAAACAGGGGTGCCCTACACTCCACAGTGAGAAGTCGAGCTGGTCATGCTTGGGTTTCAGAGGGAGGCTAAGTCAATGTTCTTGGACTGTCTTGACCCCCTCCCCCACTGACTACATCCAGTATAGAGCTCAGTATCTGTTTGCTGTCCTTGTCTACCAGTGTGAGCCAGGGCAAGTATGTGGTTGCCACAGCCTGGGGTATATGGATACAGGGGCCTCTGGATTGGAGGTAGAGGGTACTTTACAAATCTACTAGCTAGGTGGAGAGAATCATGGCTTGGGGCCCACTGAGGAACATGGAAACTGAGCACTGCTGGAGTGACTGCAGGCTTTGGGCAGAAGCCATTAACCACCCAGTGGGAAAGGCTGGGTAGGATTCAACATTAACCCTACAAAAACATGAGTGCAGAAACAAAATGGGTCTTAGCAGTAACTCACTGTCCATTCCTTCTATCTGGTGGATTTTAATACTGGAAACAAACCACTCATTTGAAAATGGAGGAGTTTTTGAATGCCTTCTTTCTTCATTTTTTAAAAAATTTGGGCTTTTTCCCTTTTGCCTTTTAACTTTTCTTATTCTTTCTTTGTCTTTTTCACTTTATTTTGTGTTCTTTTTCTCATTTGTTCTTCTCTGTTATTTCTGCTAATTCTGTTATTTGTTTTACCTCTTTTTTTTCTTTTTTGCAGCACCAGAGATCAAACTCAGGACCTTGTGCTTGTGAGGCAGGTTTGGCACTCTTTTACCTCTTTTTTTTGGTGCTGGGGATCAAACTCAGGACCTTGTGCTTGAGAGGCCTGTGGTGGAACCACTGAGCTAAATCTCTGGTCCATCTTTTACCTCTTAATGGGATCCCTTGTCTCACTTTTCTCTGTTCCTTCTTATTTTCTTTTTCTTTATTTTACACATTTTATTTTTTTGATTCTCCCATTCTTTACCTCTTCCATATTTACTTGTATAACCAATAAGCTTTAGATATTTAGTTGCTATTATTATTGAGTTCTTTTCTGTTATTAAGGTGATATAGTTGTTGCATTTAGTAGATATTCACTGGATATCAACATTTGACTTGGTTTTGTGTGTACATTATAATTATAGATCTATTTTCTCTTGTTAAGGGTGATGCAGTGGTTGATTGTACAGTGTTTTTTTCTGGATAATACATTTTCCTGTGACTCTACCTGGTCTCAGCAAGCATGGGGGACTTAACAACTGATGTGTTAGAGCGGTAACAGAAGATCCAAGGAACCTGGCTGCATAAGCCCAGTTATATTACTGCTTCTTGGTTCTTGCAGCATTGGATTCTGGGCTGAAGCCACAAAAAGAACACACACATAATTAAGTCGATGCGGATGACTGAGAGATCGAGACCCACCCCTGGCATCTGTCAGCACGAACAGGGCAAAGGGAGCTCTAACTTGACTTCCAGGCCTGCAGCCATTTGCCACTCATGTAATCTCAGGACACAGGCTGAGAGAAAAGCGTGCTCATGTGTTTATTTTGCCTTGTCCGCCAGTGCTCTTTTGACAGTGGAGATTTAATTCAGAGGTAGTGTTGCGTGAAGTCATTTATTATAAACATAACAAACATACTAATAAAGTCCCTGCATCTCTTATTAGACTTCTCCTGAAAATCTTATACAGTATAGTTCATTGCTATGCATCTGGAACTGTATAGCTATATACAAGTACATATGTGTCCCTGCGTAGTTAACGTAAGTACAAGTATAATGACAGAGAAGAAACTTCTTTTAATCGCATTTGTAAATTGAAGGCAATAAAAGAAAGGCACCTAACTATGTTACTAAAAAGGGGATGGCTCACTGCAGAGAAGCCACTTAAGGAATATTTATTGAATAAATAAATACAGTCGTTCGTGGAGATGAGATGAAGCATAAGCATTTCTGTTCTCAATTGGAATTATTATATGATGTTTATTTGATAATGGAGGAAAGGTTTTATGCTAGAATAAACATTTAAGGGGTATATTTGAAGAAAGAAAAAAACATTCCACTTATTAAAGTGATTTTCAAGGGTCTGGAATTTCACAGAATTTCTCAGAGGATAAAAGATACAGAGACTATGACTCAGGAAATATGCCCAGCAACCAAGTGATACATGTGCTGAACAGCTTCTTTTTGATGTTAAAATAAAGCAAAATAGAAAGCACAAAACGTTTCCAACAAAAGAAAGCTGAAAAGCAAGAAAATACCCGGATTTATTATTTAGGAGACTTTCTGTGCACTTAGAGCACTCCTTTGAGATTTGGCTAAATATGACAAAAATTAGAAAGAAGCAATTTAGCTGTCTTCTTGGTGAAATTTTTATAAATGGCAACTTTTATTGGAATCAAAAATTTTGCATAAAATTCTAAGATGTGAATAAAAAGAAGTCTGACACTGAAAGCCTGTCTGGCAAAATGCTTGACAACTTCTAAGCATGAATTTAGTATTTCCTGAGTGAATGAACGAATGAAGGACTGACCATATTGCTTCCTTTTCCTTCCATTTGTGAGGGGCTGCTACTTGGTTACTACACGAACACGTGGCACACCATCCATCCAGAGTACACTCAGAAAGCAGTGCTCACACTGACATCTTCTGCTCTTTCTACTCAGTCTGTCGCCTTTTAAATTCTTCCAGTATCTTTTCTCTTTCAGTCACTTGAGCTTGGTCACCAACTCCTACTGTGCTCTCATAGGACACTTTGCTCTTCTCTATAGTATCGATCATATTGTCATTATCACTGATTTCTATGCTACTTGAATAATGCTGCTTTACTAGGATCTACATTCCATGAGGCAGGTGTGACTGGACCACTAACAGTGGGCATAGAGTTAAACACAGATTTTTCAATTAATGCATGAACAAGATCATTGAAACACTAGGGTCCAAATTACTGTGGATTTTGGCTCTTATGTGGTTAGATAAGCCCCTGACCAACTCTGCTGGCTGTAGAGATCACTTCTTGGGGCTCTTGTGCTCTCTGGTTGTGTTTTTCTTGATAGTCTCTCAGCTTTTCACCATTTCCGGTGTCATGGAAAGGCCAGCTCTGTTCCAGGAAGGTGGCTCCTGTTGGCCCTGAACTGAAGGCTCAACAGCCTCCCTGTCCTGCTCCATCCACAAAGTCTCCGTGCAAATCATGTCTTCTCTGGTTAGATGTAAATCCGATCCCCCAGTAATCTTCATCCTCAATTGCCTTTTAATCCTCCATTTTGAGGGCAATTCTCTATTCTTAGTAAAAATATCCTCCTTCTATTGCACTGCCTCCCAAATCCCACCTCTATATCAAAGGTGTCAGCAAACCCTCAGGGGCCTGCCAGCTTCAGCCAGTTCTGCACACTGTCCTGCCAATGATAAGCTTGATAACAATTTTAACAAGGTCAAACAAAAGCAGAGAGACAAGGACATGATATCTCTTCTCATTTTTATTACTCTAAAACTCATTAGATTCCCCAAATTTCTGACTTTGTAGTTTTCCTGTGTATACTCAGTGGACTCGGTCATCCCACACTGTTTCTGTTGCTCTGGGTTCCTCATTCTGTTTTCCCTTTAAAAATATATTATTACTTCCAAGTACATCTCCAGCTATGTCTATCAAACCACTTAACCTGTAAGTATTTTACTTATTTCGTTGTCCCCAAGTGCCCAGCACGTGACGCATGCTAAGCTCTTTCCTCATTCACAACACTCTCCTTACAAGTCTCATTCATTCATTCATTCCGGATTCAATCCCTCTCTATCACAGACTCACTCTGTGAAGGCTGAGCAGTGTCCACGCACACTGTCCACACCCGACTCGGACTCCCAGGCAGAATCAGCTGCTCTTCTGTCCTCACAGAACACAGGAGTCACTGAAGTGCCTGTGTATGTGTACTCACTCCCTGTGTGGAGTTTAAGCTTCCTGAGAATAATCTGAGACTATTATTTTTGTTGGACAGTGCCTGACATAGTGTAAATATTTAAAAGTTTTTCATTGATGAAAAGAAGGAAGGAAGGAAGGGTAGTAAGAAGGAACAAAGGAGTGAAGGAAGGGAAGAAGGGAAGGCAAAAGAAAAGGATAAGAAGGAAGGAAGAAGAAAGGAAAGAAGTTAGGAAAGCAATTAAGAAAGAAGGAAAAAAAATGAGAGAAAAAGGCACTGCCAGGTCTAAAGTCCAATTGTTTTCCTTTCTATGTGTGTGATTTAAGGCCAAGAGCATGAAACAGGAAACATTTACTGTGGCTGTGAAAACAGACTCAGAATTCCGAGTGCAGGCAGCTAGGCCTGCCTTCGCCGGCCCTTCCTGGCCCCGGAGCGCCCTGCCTCTTTCTCTGAACAGCTCCTCTCCGCCTTCGGTCTCTCTCGGCCTGGCCTCTGGGCTGGTGTGGAGTGGCGCACAGGCCGGGGCAGTCAGAGGGCGGGCGCGGCCCGGGGAGGAAACGCGTCTGAGTCACGGTGTGGCGGTGCAGCCTGGAGGGTGCTCCGCTTGTCGGTTTGACTCCTGTCCCAGGCAAAGGTAGACGGCTGCCTGACAGACAGGCCTGGTCACAGCAGGTTACAATGAACTGTGTCATCCGCGCACACCGGGCAATTTCCTTTTTGAGTCACTTTTCAGCTACGAATGAATCATACTCCACCTCCGTTCCAGCCTGGTATGCTTACTGCCTCTGCAGCCCCAGTGGGAAGGGGCGATGTCTTTCTGCAGGGGTCTGCAGGAGGTGCCCGGTCCCTCGTAACAGGATTCCTCCGGAAAACGAGAGGCCTGTGCTTTCTCCTGCTTACAAAAAGGGTGTGTGGGGGTGTGGGGAGGACTCGTGCGCTAAGCTTTTGTGAGAAGAGGGATGTGAGTGTCGCTGTGGCCCCTGGGTCCTTGGCTGGTCACTTGGCGTTCTGTCGTCAGAAACCTAAGATGCACAGTACCTAAAATCTCTGGTCACTGGATTTGAACGCAGGAATTTTTGAAAGCATTTTCCATTTTCTCATGGTTTTAGAAAACATATACTTAAGAATTTGGCTTTGAGTTGTCCTTCGCAACTTGCTTAAGGTTCTCGCTTTCATTTTTTTAACCTACAGACAGTGGCCAAAAATTAGAAGACTATTTATACAATGCGTTTAAAGACAAGAATGTGAGCAACAGACCCGGTACAATGGAAGCTTTGTGCAGCTCGGACCGGCAGGCAGGCAGGAAGGAGCCGCGCGGTGGGTGTGGCCGAGCTGAGCTCGGGCGATCCTGAGGTCCTTACTCATCTGCGCGGGGCGGAGGCGCGCGCAGGCACAGGAATGGTCCCGCGTGGCCGCTTGCAGCGGGCCTTCTAAAACTGAAGCCTGAGAAAAGGATATGACTAATCCGGGGATTTAAAAGCTGGGCCTGGACCCTGTTTTGAGGCCAGTTGCAGCGCTTTGGGGTTTGCCTGGGGAGGAGTAAAGCCTGAGAAGGAAGCATCTTGTGCTCATTCTCCCGTGCCTTTTCCTCCAGATCTTCCAAGCCCTTAGGGTCACGCCTGGAGAGGGGCCACCCGCCGTTGCAGCTGCTGTCTTCACCCTGCGGACTCCAGTTTCTGAAACTTGAAGGTTTTTCAGTCTTTGGCAATCTTCCGTTTAAACTGAGTGTCTTCAGCAAAGGGCTTTACTTCAGGATCAGTGATGTGGGTCACAGTGGGAAGGGCAGAAGGGAATGTCAGCGGGCATCATGGAAATGGAAAAGACCGGAGGAAAAGTATTTCTGATTCATTGTCCTTGCATCCCCACGCACTGCCGAGCTGAGACTGTCCCTCAGTCACCCAACTATCCATTGCAGGAGGAATGAAGTCCACCTTCATCACCCCTGTGGCCGGGTGCCCCAGTCCGTTCCTACTCTCCTTGGCCACCTTATCTTTTAGCCTACTGTGCTTCAACTTACTCTGTGCTGAATTCAGCCAGGCTGCCTCTCCTTACTTTGTTCCCTTTGCTGCCTTTGTTCTTGTAGCTGGTGACTTTTCTTTTCTTTTCTTTTCTTTTCTTTTCTTTTTCTCTTCCCTTCTCTTCTCTTCTCTCTTCCTTTCCTCTCTCTCTCTCTCTCTTTCTGCATTTTCTCATTTCTTCTCTCTCTTTTCTAGTTGTTGAAATCCTAATCATTTTTCAAAGACCACCCAGCTATTTTACAAAACTCCCCCAACCCTTTCAGTCCATACTGACCATTCACTCTCCATGGCACCTGTTTTTTTCCTGAGTATAACCTCTTGCAGTGTTCCACTATCCATGCTATTTGAAGGCAGGGGCCTTGATGTGTTTGTCTTTATAGATTCTGTTGCCAGTGAACAAGTGGCTGGAACATTAATACGAACCCAATAAATGGGGGCTGAGTTGTTGCTCCAGTTCTGGTTTTCCTGGGGACTAATGATCTGCAGAGCATGAACAGAGGGGATCAAAAGTGGCAAGTGGCTGTAACACTGCCTCCCTCTAGGCTGGAGGACTTTCTGCTTTCCAAAAATGTGAAGGCTTCCACCTTCATCCAAATGGTTCCTAGAGAACCAAATGATGGGGACCTCTTGCATGGCTCACTCTTGCCACCCAGCATTTACTTAGTTTCAGAATGACAAAGTTGAAGGTATGTGGATTTAACCTGGTTCATATTTCAGCCAAATACCAGATCTCTGTATCCTGTCCATTCTCAGTGGTTTGCTCAGAGAAGGTTGGAGTCACAGCCACTTCCAGCAAGGGGCTCATCCATACCAGGTCACTTGACAGTTTTCTAAAATGGGGCTTGCAGAGAAAAGGAAGAGACTTTTCCTAGCCAAACTCTTATGAAAATATGAAAGGGGTCCAGCCACTTGGAAAGACACTCCAACACCATCACTGAGCACACTTGTTCTTCAGGAGGAACAAGAATACTGGAATCTATCTCTTAAGATTGAACAATGTCTGAAAAAGCAAAATGAAGCAAAACAAAATTAATGATAAATTTCTGTACTGTTTTAAAAAACTGAATTTTGTATTTTTAAATCTGCTTATAAGGAGCTTTACTAATTAAATAGTTATACTTAATAGTTTAATAGTTTTGATCAAGATGGGAGTTCAGTATATATTGTTAAACATCAATATTGGTTACAAAAATGCAAAGATATTTACAATGTAAAGAATTAACCCATGAAGTTTTCATGGCTGACTGTAATATTTTTCCCTCAGAGGACAGATGATGAAGGAAGAACTAGGAGGGAGAGGTCAGCCCTTCACAACTCTTGTCTATTGGCCTTAGAAAATAGATGATGTGTCCATCAGATACAGCCAATTTATCAGAAGACAATAATGATTATGGTGTCCTTTTCAAAAACACGATAACATCCTTTGGAGATACATCTGTGCATTGAGTGTGCTATGGATGTCGTTTTCAGAAAATTTTTTTATATCTTCTTGTCCTAGGCATCCTAAGCACTATTTTAATTCCTTCAGAGGGTGAAGGGAACTTGTATGATGCACTTTTGGACTATAGAATTGTTATTTTGTCTTTCCTTCGTCCATACATTCCATCTGTGACTCTGTAGAATCTTTTGTTGGAGCCATTGCCTGGGGCTGATTAATTGCCACTTCACCCAGAGTGCCATGAACTCTCAAGATAAGGCTTGAGATAAAATGGAAAACATCAAAGCTAAGCATACATTCACACTCTGCAAACCACAGAGCGCATTCACATGGCATAGGCACACGTGGGTGTGCACACGACTATCAGCCTCCTTGATTGATTGGGTAAAGTGGCAGGCAGAGGTGTATGTATCTGCGGAGTCACAAATGGTGAGCTGAGCAGCACCTGCTGTCCTGTGATGTGGCCATTTGTCTTAAAAGGCCAGTGAGAGAGACAGAGACCTGAATCCCTGAACCTTTGGAGAACTCTGAACAGCAGGGGCACCCTGGTGGAACAAAGGGCCTCCCGACATATGTGAGGGCTGCTTTTCGTCAACCAGGTATCACATTCCGGCCACAGCATGACAGACAAATGCCAGGCCAGATGAGGAGATACAATCTGCTGAACCTGATGCTCCTATACCTGGGTCTTGTGAGGGGAGCAGATGCTGTGTCAGTATGGATGCAGGTGTGAAAATAGGGGGAGAAAAGCCCCAATACAAAAGTCCAGAGGCTCTAGGGGAGGCTCACTTTTCGAAGTTATTGATCCTAACTCTCGTGTAACATAAATCTTGTCTGTGCGGTGTTGTGTTGAAATTTTCTGGCAGAAGAAGCCTGAGGGAAGATTTGACGTTAGAAACTGAAGGCCACTACGACAGTGTGCCTTTTCTCTCATGACTCCTATCATCATACTCGATGGAGGGACCTTATTTATAGTTTGGGTATACTTGGGTGGGTCATAGGAGAGACTCACCCGGTGAGCTTGTTACTCCTTGACTATCTCACTGTCTCAGAAACTTGACTTTCTTAGCAAGGAAGCCCAAGCCTACATCACACAAGAGGTTGGGTGCTCTACTCATGGCCTTGAAGATGTCTGCTGTCCACCTACTGGATAATTTGTGAGATCAGAATTCAAAAGTTTCTTAATTCTCTAGTTGTTTTTATACACACATTATTTGTTGAGCATCTTCTATATGTTAGTGTACTCTCTGCTTAGATGAAATGCCTAGCATCTGCGTAATAAAGAAAATATTAACAAAAGTTTGATAATAAAGACTCTGCTTACTTCTAAGGTAAATACCAGCTCCTTCCTGGAACATGGAAGCATCTAAAGGGGAAGTTTGCAGCTTCAGAAAATGTTCAAATCTGCTTATCAGTGGGAGGACTGATGTTGCTTCTCCTACATCTGGTTCCTTTCCCTTCCCCTATCTTTCTTCTTAGTAATAATATTGTAATTCTGACTGCCTTCTCTTAGAGTTTGCCCTTATCCTCTCTATTTTTCCTTGGTGCATATAAAATTGAGCCTAAAGGCATTAAGTTGCTCAAAGTTCTTCCTTTCTGTTCCTGAGGACATGTTTTTAGAAATGTTTTTATTTTTAATTGAAATTTGTATTGCGTTGATTGTGGCTTCACAGGGGGTTGTTCCTCTCCCCCCTTTCCCTTACATGGAAAATTTTTTTCAAAACTAGAGCTTTACAATGTTACTACGAGGATGTTGACTTCAATGTCGCCCACTGTTTTGGTAAGATTTTTCCAGTTTTACTTGTATTGACTTATGTGTGTATATTTAGCTCTATATAATTTTATCATGGGTTATGGGTTCATGTGTTCACCACCAGAGCCAAGATACTGAGCAGTTCCTTTACCGCAGTGATTCTCCTTTTTATTGACTATTTTTCAGAATGTTTTCAGTTTTACAAGCACACAAAAGAGAAATTCAGAGTTCTCATGTATCTCCCCACCTATATTATTTTCTTTATTATTGACAACTTATATAAAGTATACGTCATTTTCCACAAATGAATGAACCAATATTGATAAACTACAATTAAATGAGGTCATAGTAGATTCAGACTTCCTTACTTTACTTAATGTCCTTCCTCTGTCCAGAATCCCATTTAGGAAACCACATTACATTCAGTGATCATGTCTCCTTAGGCTCCTCTGGACTGTGACAGTTTCTCAAACTTCCTTTTTTATGGCATTAATATTTTTTAAAGTACTGGTCAGTTTTATTTTATTTTATTTTATTTTTGTATGTGATACTGCAAATTGGATGCAGAACCTTTGTACTGAACTACAGTTCCAGCTCACTTTTATGTTTTATTTTCAGACAGGACCTCACTAAGTCACTGTGTTGGCCAGGCTGAGCTTGAACTTGTGATCCTCCTGTCTCAGCCTCCCAGGTGCAACACACCTGCCTTGTGGTCAGGTAGCTTTGTAGGATGCTGCACAATTGGCATTTGTTTGATGGTTCTCTTGTGATTAGACAAGGATTGTAGATTTGGGGAAGGAGGTCATAGAAGTAAATTGTCATATCACATTATATATATATTATCAACATGACTCGGCTGAGGTAGTTTCTGTCAGTCACTACTCCCTTTCAGTATTCTATTGGAAGACCTAACTGGTGTAGTAAGACAGGAACAGGAAAGAGGAAGTGTGTAGGTGGAGAAAGAAAAAATAAAATTGGCTTTATTTGTGGATACCATGAATTATCTATATAGAAAATACCAAAGAATTAACAACAATAAAAATCTCCTTTAATATTTCTGTTACTATGCAGATTCAAGGCATCCTCAATCTAATAAATGATAATAGCAAGTTTGCAGGATACAAGGTTAACATACAAATGTCAATTGCTTTCCCCTATACTAGCAATGAATAATTGGAATTGGAAATTAAAAATACAGTACGATTTACATTAGGAACTAAAAAATTAAATATGGGTGAACCTTGGTTCACAAACTTAATTTTTTCCACAGTTCTGGTCACAAACTGAATTGGATGAGAACTGCATCAATTTTTCCCATAAAGTCAGCATTGAGCCTAACCATTCAATTTGATTCAGTTTTCGTCCAATTTGATTTGTGACAAGAATGGTGTTGGACCTAGCTGTAAATGTGATAAAATGTGTACACAATCTATGTGAGAAAAACCATAAAACTCTGATGGAAGAAATCAAAGAAAACCTTAGTCGTGGATGAAATAGTCCATGTTCATGGTTAGGCAAATACTAGTTTTTAAATCTCAGCAAGATATTTTATGAATATTATCAAACTCATGCTAAGTTTACACAGTGAATTAAAAGATCCACAATAGCAGACACAGTATTGAAAGAGAAGAAAAAACTGAAGGATTAACACTAGCCTACTTTAAGAGTTACTATAAAGCTCCAATAATCAGGATATATAATAGTATTAGCGAAAAATATGGGCAATAGATCAATTGTCCCAGAAATAGAGAGCCCAGAAATATACCCAGATAAATGTAGCCAACTAATAATGTCATCTGCATGAATTATTACAGCTCTGATTATCTCCAGTAGAAGGAATCATGACTCATTGAGACACTACAGTGTAACCTCAGCCCATTCGGTTTTCCTTGTCAAAGTAAATTCTAGGTATGTGCGTAGTTTCTTTTTGGTTTGCCCACTAGAAAAACAAAGCAATACACAAAAAAACAAGAAAATCAAATAAAAAAAATCTCAGACTGAAGACTTTCCTTTACAAGAAAGTCCTGCAAATAGTTCAGATGGAAATAATAAATCGTATTTTATCTCACTTCTTTCTGTTCTCAAGTGTTCTGTTCTCCAACTAAAACAAAGTAGCAATGACAAACAAATATGCTGGTCCCTACTCTTCTTCATATGAAGTGATATTCAGTTTTTTTCTCCAACTGATATGTAACCAGTACCACCTCCCGACTCATCCTTGTGATTCATGTCTGGACACTGTCTACATTAGTCTGACCAATTATTATCACATTACTCTGTTGTTACACTCATACAATAGCACTTGTTTAAGGACTAGTTATTGAGCAGCTACTCTGCTGAGAACACAAAGAGGTACAAAATGTGCATCAAGCCCTCATACCAGGTAGTGTTGTAGTTATGCCATAGATATTTATAAATTCAGGAGACATTGGGAAGAACATTGTAAGAGATACTTACAATTTTAGAACAGAGCTGGAGGTGGTGTCCTGTGAGAACACAGAGTACAAAAGACTACATAACCTGGAATGCGTAGGGTATTTCATAATGTAAAAGGCATTTTGAATCAATTCTTCGGTGAATATGACTTAGACTTATGCGAGGAAGGGTATACAACTAAACTGAATGCTATTTAATTTTTACTCAACTACCTACATATTTTACCCAGGAGCTGAAGGTAGACTTTGTGTTCCTATTAACATATTTGCAAAACTGTTTTCTGTTCTTTCTTTTTACTTTAAAACAAATACAAAGTATTATATCACCTCTATTAAGGTTTTAATTATTAAACAAAGCCCACCATTCTAGATACGTGAGGTGTTTTTGTGCCTTGGGCTTCGTATCCCCACTCAGCCTCCAATCACCTAACAATTTGTTAAGTTTTTCTTCTAGTCCTTTCTCTAGGTTGCTGTGGAAAAAGATGACTGAGACAGAGCTGAGAGCAGCCCTGAGCTCACACGGACGCCTTCCCCACGTGGTGACCATGATCTCATTCACCACTCTTTGGCTCACATGTCACCATCATTTCAAAAAGATAACACCAGACCCCTTCACAGGCCTTGTTGAAATCCAGACCTGTTTGCTGTCACGTATTCTTGATTTACTAGCCAGCAACAACTGTGCAGAAGGAAATCAGGCTTGTCTCTGTAAGAGCTTGTTCTTAGTAAAACCTATGGTGACTTTACTGGTCCCCATTCCTGCCTAATCACTGAGAGGCCATTGCTGGCCTCTTGTTGAGTTTAATAGCAGGCTACCAAAAGCAGTTACACTGGGAGCTTGGCCCACATTTCTCCTGTCAGCACAGGTGCTGTGGTGCTGCTGTCCCTTCCCTGGTCTGTAGACTGCAACAGTGACCTGCATGGACCCCACTTCTGGCCACCCGTGTACTTAGCACACAAGTGACAGCTTTTCCACTCCGGTATGTGATTCATTTGGCTAACAGATTCAAACTCCTAGTGAGAGAAGTATAGAAGGGACTCAGATTTTGTTTTATAATCTCCTGGGCATTCATTTCCTCTTAATAATATTTGTTTTGCTCTTTCTGTCCAATCTGATTTGGTTTGGCAGGGAAGCTTGCATTAACCCAAGAGCTGAGATTTGTTTTTTAGTTATCATTTATCCTCATCTCACCACTGACCTCTGGCAGCAGAACTATCTTTTCCATGTTCTTTGATTTTTGGAGGAGAGCATTATCACAGCTTACATGAGCTTGATGGCTTCGACGCGTGTACCTGGTCATAACTGCTGACCTCGAGGGAAGTACCTGGCCTCTCCACCCCTCTACCCCTTGCCCTGAAACATGAGGAATGACGCTATTTCGTGAGCTCACATCAGGGTTAGAGGAATCAGTCTGTCTTCGCTAGTTGCTCTTGGTATTTTCACATCTTGGGCACAGTGACGTGCCACGACATTCTCCTTGCTCAAGTCTAGTCTCTCTGTTCATGAGCATGCTCCTTTCTCTCTGAGTTAAACACAAGCATCAATTGAGGTAACATACATAGAAAAGTGTTTAGGAAAAGAGACACAAAATAACACATAAAGGACTTCGTTGACATAAAATTCATAAGTGAGCTGAATGCAGTGGAGTATCTGGGTGAGAATTGTTCAGGATAGAAGGATGAATGACTGTCACCATGTGAGGTCCCTCAGGTGGGAAGGGCACAAGGGCTTCCAGAGCTGTCAGACCTGATGAGAGGACCATGGAATCATGATATGACGATTCGCTATGCTATGTATTTATAATTTACATGTATTTTATATCTTCTGCTTCACAACTAAAAGTTTTATTCTAAAAGGCATAAAGTTAATTTAAATATGTAAAATATGTGCAGAGTAGTGCAATGAGCATAATTTTATTACAAACTTAGAAAACTCATTAATTTTGATTAGAGTTTACTGTTGTTTTAAACTATAAAGGGTCAAAGAAATGTTCAGTATCCTTGCCCTGCAGTGAATTATCCCTTATTATCTAAGTTGGGGGCATGTCTTATTTCTTTCATCTTCAAGCTTACAATTCTTGTCTGAGTTCAAATACGGGTGCGTCCAGTGACCGACTTGGGCATATTCCTAGGAGGCTCTGTGGGTGCTGTATTGGGGAAACTCTGCACCTCCCACCTGCATTGTGAAGAATGTATCAGCAGTCACACAAAGGAAATATCTTTAACGTCTACATTGTATTTACATCCTTGAAACAGATAAATTTCTGCCCCCCAAATAATGACATTGACCTGTTTCTCTCCCAGGAAGTGCAGATATAAACCCTAGGAACAACCAAAGGAAAACAGGAAACGGTAGTAAGAGAAAGTTTTGGGAATTGTGGATTTGGGGGAAAAGAACCCAGCAGGATGTTTAGTGTCCACCAGACCAGCGAAGAAGGCAGCACCTACCAGGGCTCCTTGACTCAGCTTAGTGCAGATGGTATCTCACGTGGGCTCATGTTCCTCTGGAGGTGGGGAGATCTCTTCAACAGCACCATCAATAAGGACATCATCATGTGGGAAGGTGATAGCTCCTTCTCTCCCCTTCCCAGCCAATATAAGGGGAAATGGAAGTGGAATTCTCCATCTACATCCTCCACTACCACAGGCAGGAGAATCTCATCACAAGTGCCTGCAGGGGAAGCCTCTGTGCCCCAGCTTGTTGTAAGTAGCCTACCCTGACTGGCTATCCCAGCTCACTCCAGTGAGGAAAGGAGTCTCAGGCTTAAAGGGACATAGAGGCTGACTCACTTTCTTTTTTAACAGAAATTTTAGGTTGGCAGCAAAGTTAAGCAGAAGGTAGAGAGATT